AACATATTACGTGTGTGCTTCTTTTTTCTTTTAACCTCTCAGTAATTATACCTAAACGGTACTATCAATTCGATATAGTACGTCTACGATAATGGTAAAGATTAGAACAAGTAAATGGCAGAGAGGTAAAGAAGCGGAAGAGAAGAGAGGATGAGGAAGAGGGTAAATCTCGAGAGAGTAAGGAGAGGAAAGAGAAGGTAAGGAAGCGTTATGAGAACGTTATATGATATGATTACGCGTCTCAGTTATTTGGAATAATATTCTATATAACCATATAGAGAGTTGCTGCAGCTAGCTTAGAGATAAGCCGAGAGAAAGCTTCATATGTGGACGGCGCCCGCACAATTTTTTTTGTTTAATCTAAAGTTTCCGCCTTAGTATACCCCTACACACTCTTTTGACCCGTGCGAAAGATTCGAGAAGGGACCGATCTCATTGATCAGGATATATAACAGATGCGTACTTTACTTCGCGCGTAATTCAAAGAAATCTACGCGCGAATTAAATCTGTAACAATATACTTTCTCACATAAAGCATTTCTTAACGCTAATTTTTAAACAAAAGTCGATTTTTTCTTTTTTGCTTTGAATTACTCGTATACTCTTTGTAAAAATATTAAACGCGAGCAATTGTAAAGCGCTCTTGAAAATTTCTCGGTTTAAATCATAATTTAAATATATAATCGATTGACAGCTCTCGAACGAAATCTTATCTTGAACAAAATAACCGATAAAAAACAAAAAAAAATTTCTCGAGTCTCTCTCTCTCTCTCTCTCTTAAAGAGAATCGCATAATGACGTAAAAGAAAAAAAAAATATATATATATATACTGATCCTCAAATCCTCGATCCATTTCTCAAGTCCGACACTGAGGTCGATGCCTGACGTGTATGCGCGCAAAAAACTGGCGCGACTTTGTAACGTCAATGCCATTCGCTTTATTCGCCGCCTCGCTAGTTAAGATTTAATGTATCGTACGTAGAAACACTAACACGGCCGCTCCATAAATCTCACCGTCCCTGTACTGTACAAACTCCTTGGAGAGACTAAGTTTAGTAATTATTATTACGCATTACGTATATCTCTAATTTGTCGGACGTATCGGCGCCGCCATCGTCGCAGTACTTGCTGCTACCGCGTCACTTAATAATTAACGGTGTTTGCGGTTATAACATCAAAACATAACTAAGCAATATAATAATGATAATAACTCATAATTCATAATAATAATAATAATAATAATAATAATAATAATAATAATAATAATAATATATGAGTATAAATGCCAGCAGGTTCGCCTTGTAGATCACATTCGTCTTTCTCACTTCTCGATTCCACGATATTATTTTTTTTTTTTTTTGTTCCGTATACAATGAGCCGGAGTAGATTTAGGCGCGATCATACTTTTCTCTTTTTCGATATTCTGACAGAACAACCGAAAGATCCTTGGCTACGGCCACGAAATATACAATAATAACGTTGTGTACTCTTAACACACGATAACAGATTACTTGGAGTGGAACCGATATACGACTATGTTGTGTTGTCCTATAATGTTTCTGTATATCTCTGCGTAAGCCGAAAGCACAAGCAAGAAATATGGTCCACACAACACACAATTTAATATATATTGCAGTCATATTAATAAACAATAAAAAATGCATCTTTGATACAAAAATGATCTGAATGTAATTAATTATAATTTTTGTATATTTAATGGAGATTTGTCTCTTTTGTGTACGTTTTGTGTCTGTCTGTGAATGTACCATAAAATATAGCAAATATAATATTTCTTGAAATCAACTCCGAATGCTTTCGTATCAAATATAAAATATGTCGATAGATTTCAATAAATTTAATTAATATTATTATTAATTATTAATTATTAATTACAGTTTCTGATTTGCATCGTATCACGATCAATGTTTCGCGTAATTCAATGTAAACACATTATAAATAATTATTATTAACGTAATCATGTGTGGTCATCATTACGGAGGATACACTGTTATATCACACTAAAGAGACAATATTAATTTTTTAATCAAAGATAATATAAAATATACATATATTTCTCTCTCTCTCTCTCTCCGTCTGTCTCTAAATATTTTAATTACAATTACACTGAGCGTTTACAATATCCATAAATATAAATAACCATATTTCTGCAAGTGTTCTCTTGCTCCCATTATGCTCAGACTTAATTTCTGCAAAACTGTTTAATCTTACACACGCATATATTACGTTCTACCTTCATTCTTTTTGCACATTACATGTTAAAACATTATTACGATTACGGTATGTAGATAGGTACTTCGCTATGTGGGGAAATATTTTTACGTGAGTACATCAGTTTACGCGGACTCACATACGCAGCTTAATTATTACATTACGTATGGGAATATTATTTATAGTATTACTTTTATAGTTTAGGTAATTAGAGGATAAAGTACTAATACGAATATATGAGTTTTTCCTTCCATTTTTATTTAAATGTGCTTTTATGCTTTGATTACGGACGTCTATTTGTTGGAGCTGCTCGTCATTATGCTGCTTTTATTCAGTTAAATTAATAAGGTATCTCTTTTCTCTCAATTTACGTACTTGCGTTTAAACGTATCCTAAAATCTCACCGCGTCTAAGCAAAAATTCTGGCTTAGTGCGCGATAAACAGATTTTTCCGTTTCTTTTGTTTGTTCTCGTTTTTTTATATATATGTATATGTATATATTTATAATATACTTATTACTTTTAATAATATATATTATGTGGTATATTGTGTACAATATATGTTTTTACGTCGTTATATATTACTAGGCGATCTATGCAATAAATCTTGACGTTAATCTAAAAAGATCTGATATTCTTGCCGCACATTTTACGTATATTTTTATTTGTTAAAATCTCTTTTGATTAAAAGCATCTTTTTAATGATGAATGTAATATATATATTTAATATATATTTATATATATATAGATAGTAAATATAAACACATTATAGTTCAGCATTAAAAACAACAATGTGTTCATTTTTTTATCGGTTTTACCATTATTGAATTAAGAATAGCGATACTTTGCTTCAAATAAAATTTAATCAAAACTTTCTTTTTGATAAAGAATCAAGACCTATGCATCGATCGCGCTAACATGGAGGAGAAAAAAAATAATTGGGTAATAATTTATATATCTCGGTTACTTTTTCCACGTGTTTTACGTTTTCCTTTCTTTTTTTTTTACGAATTCTAAGTAAGTAATACCAACAACGGGTTCTATATATCTATGGAAAGGTCTACCCTGACACCAAATTACGTATTTAATGTACTAAGAGTGAGATACTCGTCCGGTGATGTGGCTCGTGTTTCTAGTACGTATGTGTACGAATGTATGTATGTGTATATTTAATTTTTTTCTATAATATTTCTATATACGTGTAATTTCCAACAAAACGCTGATAAGAATAACTGAAGATTGTGCAACTGAAACAGCCAAAAGTAAACGTTATATAAATTATGTTATAGAATTTAACAATCGTAAAATTTCACATAAATCTTACGTTAATGATCAATGCATTTTGTCTCGCAATGAATATTGATTAAAATATATGTTCACTACGTGTGTATCTGTATATAAGTGTATTCTTGTCTATCAACACGGCAGGATAATCGAGATGATTACTCTTTGTCGAACTCTTGACAAAGTTCGATCGCCAAGTGTATATTGTACAGTTATTATACTATTCATCATGCCTAGAAACAACATTCAGAAAGATTTATTCTCGAAATCCAATGTGTTTATGTGCTCACGGCATGTCATCTCATTCTCTAGTGCGTGAATATCGTTTGAATATTTTTGCATTCACGTTTCTTTAATTTGTTCTGTAAAATTTGCGAATTTAACGACGATTTTATTGCTCATGATAGGATATTACTTTTAGTCACGTTGGTAAAAAAATAAATATTCTAATTTTTTTTTTATTGTGTGTCGGATCTATAAAATAATTTATTATATTCATCGACATTCATTGACAAAAAGTTTCATTTATTGTGATTTGTCGAAATTGACGTATATTGAAATGGCTGAATAAAAAGTTGTTATGTTTCTTCTGTTTACAAATATTTGTAATAAATTTTTTACCGCGAAATCGAGCGTACCGAAAGAAAACTGTTTAAAATACAAATATTCTGTAACATTATATGTATAAGGCCGATATTACGTTTGTTGTACGACAAACTTTTTAAGCGCACTGATTAGCTAATTTCTAAAGATTCAAGAAATTTTCTATTTTATAGCCAATCAATATGCTCAAAAAGTTCGTCGTACGACAAATATAATATTACCCTTATTATACAGTTTGTAAAATCAAATTTATTCAATTGTCTATGAATAGATATTATGTATATGTAAGATAGAATTATGTATATATAAGACAGAATTATAACAACTAATTTTTTTTAAATAAGAAACTCATATTATAAATAAAAAAGTTGCATATATCTAATGACTAATCTCTATTTGTTTGACGAAAAACTTAGATATTTTAACAAAGTCGACATTAATAACGTTAAGCTAACTCGTTTAAAAAGACTCACGAATACTGAATCTGTCAAAGTAAGTGATTTAGGGTAAAAAAAAAAAAAAAAAAAAGGGTCGTAAATATTTGTCCGCAATCGCGCGAGAGACACGTTGTTCGTTGTTTCCTCCAGAAGGTTGCGAGTTTTAATCGCCTCTTTTAATTTCCATTAGTGATCGTACGAAGGAAGCAAAATGTTTGCGTATGACTTTGAAGATCAAACATTTCAACATCGAGAACGATAAGGCTGTTTCCTCGAAATAGCCTCATCGTTTTCTTCCTCTGGAACGACGATGTGTTCTAATACAACAGAAAAAGATATAGCTGAATTCAGGAACTCGCATATCACGACAAAGTAAGCGATCGCTCGAATATCAGCTAAATCTTCACTGATCTCTTCATCGTCATACAGTTGGATGCCTGGACATTCGCTCGTTCGTACAGCTTGATTAAATTACTTCCTTCTTTCAAGGTTCGATCAATTAATCGATTAATTAGCGTCGTCGTAGTTGATAATTCGGTTGGCCATACGACCATTAATCCTTCAGTTTTGGCCCATTTAACTAGTCTACTCACCGCCTCGATATAATAATTGGCTCCGTCCATGGCAGTATCGCGCCAATTCGTGTGTTCGTCGTATGCGATAATGGCTCATTATGTAGCACCCGATTAACAATATACATTATACGTTCTAGGAATCAGTCACAGGCTGAACCCCGAGGCAATTTCGCTCTACGGGGGCTAGCCAAGTAAGTACGTAGCTGGGGGATAGGGTGCGGTCACATTCTCTATCTGCTTTCAGAGTTCTTTCTCTAGTGTAATGTCTACGTAATTTTTTCTTTCTTGCGTAAAAAAAGAAACAAAAGGGAGAACCGACTCAGCAAGGCATTCGTCGTACCTTTCCCTGCCCGGAGAAGACTGCCGCGCTCCGTGTGTATCTTCCAGAATCTCCTAAATTCTCGCCATCTTCTATCTCGATGCAAGACCGGTGACCACGAAGTTCTCTATTTGCGAACTCACTGGCACACCGAAGAAGATCGCAAAAATCTTTTGCGTCGGATGTTTCGTACCTGTTTCTCGCGTGTGAAGGTCAAAGAAGAGGAACTCAGGATCATCTTCTTACGTAGCCGAGCTTACCAACTACTTCGCTTCGGAGTCTTCGTCCAGGCCACTCCAGTCTCTTGTGTCTTCCTTAAAAGAAAGAGAGTCGGCTCAGTAAGGTATCCTATGTGGGTACCTTACTAACTGCCTTCAGAAGATCGCTTTGCGTCTTTTCCAGGCCGCTTACGTGATGCTGCTGCTGGTGCTGAAGGGCGGCACTCTGCTGCTCCTGCTGCAACTTGGCCTGTTTCTCCGCCTGCTGTTTCTTCATCATGTCTTGCTCCTCGCGCTCGCGTCTGGCCTGCTCGTTGATCTCCTTAACCGCTCTCAACTCCTTTTTCAGCTTCATTCGCCGATTTTGGAACCAGATCTTGATCTGTCGTTCCGTTAGACAGAGCGCATGTGCAATCTCTATTCGTCGCCGTCGCGTCAGATAGTGATTGAAGTGAAATTCTTTTTCTAATTCCAGTGTTTGGAACCGCGTGTACGTTTGTCGACCTCTGCGCCTCGGGCAGCCATTAGGACCTGAAAATGTTAACAAATCTAATTTTTGAGATTCTGCCCTCGATAGTCTTCAGATTTTTTTAAACACGACGAACTGAAATGTTAATATGTAAACAAATTGACGCGCTAGTGAAGATGAGATTGAAAATATTCTCTCCAAATTGTCGAATATCTTTAATCTAAAAGTTTTTTTTGCTTCGCATTTATTATTGTCACATATTCGTTGAGAAATATACTTTATTAGTTATACATGTATATACATTTACCAACTACTTCGCTTCGGAGTCTTCGTCCAGGCCACTCCAGTCTCTTGTGTCTTCCTTAAAAGAAAGAGAGTCGGCTCAGTAAGGTATCCTATGTGGGTACCTTACTAACTGCCTTCAGAAGATCGCTTTGCGTCTTTTCCAGGCCGCTTACGTGATGCTGCTGCTGGTGCTGAAGGGCGGCACTCTGCTGCTCCTGCTGCAACTTGGCCTGTTTCTCCGCCTGCTGTTTCTTCATCATGTCTTGCTCCTCGCGCTCGCGTCTGGCCTGCTCGTTGATCTCCTTAACCGCTCTCAACTCCTTTTTCAGCTTCATTCGCCGATTTTGGAACCAGATCTTGATCTGTCGTTCCGTTAGACAGAGCGCATGTGCAATCTCTATTCGTCGCCGTCGCGTCAGATAGTGATTGAAGTGAAATTCTTTTTCTAATTCCAGTGTTTGGAACCGCGTGTACGTTTGTCGACCTCTGCGCCTCGGGCAGCCATTAGGACCTGAAAATGTTAACAAATCTAATTTTTGAGATTCTGCCCTCGATAGTCTTCAGATTTTTTTTTTAAACACGAACTGAAATGTTAATATGTAAACAAATTGACGCGCTAGTGAAGATGAGATTGAAAATATTCTCTCCAAATTGTCGAATAATTTTAATCTAAAAGTTTTTTTTTGTTTCGCATTTATTATTGTCACATATTCGTTGAGAAAAATACTTTATTAGTTATACATGTATATACATATATATATATGTATGTGTGTGTGTGTAAATTAATTATAATACTTTCTATAAATATAGAAAGTACAAGAAATACATATTTAATTCTATATACACACATATATATATATATTTATTTATTTATTTATTCCATATTTCTCTGTGAAAAAACAAATTATATTAAATAAATTTTATGCTTTTGAGATAACATTTTATTACAAAACAAAAAAGCTATCTCTTTAACCGCGACAACAATCTTTTGTTAACTATCATAACAATACTCTTTTTCTCTGTTTCCCAATGAACCATAACCACAGGTGCTCTCTACACTCTTTTATAAATCTGAACTCTCTCCTCACTTTCTCTCGTCAAAAGAAAAAAAACACTCTTTATTGCAAGGCTAAAAAAAAAAGGTAAAAGGAAAATGAGTAACAATAGATAGTATTCGGGAAGCTCCTACTCTTACACAACAAACCCTTTCTAATGCTGTTTTATTTGCTTTTACTTTCTCCAGCAATTTATACCATAAAGAGAGATGCAAGCGATTTTTGATTATTTTTGTTTGACATTTAGAGTTAAGAATTGATTAATCGGAGATTGCGCAATTATGCGACAGTAAAATGTAATTAAATAATACATCACGGAATCATCATTGATATCAAAATATAAAAAAAACAATAATAATTAGATAATAATTCTTATTAATGCTAGTGAAATAAATTTAAGAAACTACATTTAAAACGAGAGAGAGATTTCTTTATGCGCTATAATATCGCTAATAACGTCACTGCTGAATTTCGAACGTATTTTTGCAATCATTTCGAAGGTAACTTCACTTTCAGTTGTCGTCACGGACGAAGCGCGTCTCTTCCGAGGATCGCTAAGGAACCGGTTCCTTAGTGCAAAGAGAGGACAGCTATAATACCATCATTTGCGAAGCGACGCTGAGTGACCATATTATTGCCTCGTAATGAAGCAAATGCGTGCTACTGACCAATAAAAGATAGCAAGACTTTTCGTTCCCCCTTATTTCACGACAATACGAAGATTGTGTAGAGACCCTAAAAAAGTGAGAAAACTAATTTTTGTATTGGTAAAATCAGAGTTATCGTATTAATTATTATTGTTGGAATTCTCGGAAGAAGGTAACAATTAATTACGGATATTTTAAAAAATCTATCGCAAGGTAACATATCTAAGACATTTTATTTAATATAAGATAGAAATCTCTTTCTTTGTATCAAAACTTCGCGGTTTAATTATAGGGCACGATATTTTCTATCAGAAATAAAAAAATTGAAGCGCGTACCTAATTACATTTCCGTTAGAATGTAACTATAGATCGAAAAATCTGTCGTGAAGAAAAGTATACCGTACATGAGAGGCACACATTCTATAAATACACATCTATTTCCGTAAATAAATATAAACCTGAAACATAATGATATTCCTAAAAAGACAGTAATGCTATTCATGAGATCGATTAGCAAGCGATAGCGATTTACGCTGAATTTATAGGCAAACGTGATCTGCTTACACCTCGCGGATTAGAATATATCGAGGAATTGGATTAACAAATTGCGAACGTGGGGAATTATCCTACGACAGATTTAAACGTAGCGGCGCCGTATTTTCCATCTCCTGTCATAACGATCGGTCGTGCCGGTGGCGCTCGAATGACACGCACGTGCGCAATTTCCGATGCAGGATGACCCATGAAATACGTATCGCTCCGAGCAGAAAACTCTTGGAGAATGCGGAGAATGCTGATATTGAATTCAGCATGGCCGTTCTCGCCGGTGCGGTCCGAGCTTCGCGCTCGCGCTCGTCAGTATATACGTACGTACGTGTGTACGTACCTGAATCAGCGACCGCACACTCGCACATTCCGCTTTTTGCGTATGTGTAGGTGGCCGTGGGTCCGTATTGGTGCGAATCAACACGGTTTTTAGCGGCGTAACCGTGTGCGTCAGTTTGGCACACGTACATACGTATCCGCTGCAGCCACCACGGGGTGGTTACCGCTTCGAAGCCCGAAGGGTGGGACATAGGTTACCTTGGCAACCAGAGGGGAAACCATTCCATCCTCCTGGCGGCATATCACGCGAGAGAGGCCAAGCCTAGCAGAGCCAGAAAACTCTCTCTCGCATCTCCTCTCTCTACCACCTCGACCCTACGCGAAAGAGCTCGCCGCCGCGTTCGTACGTCGCTCTTAGGAAGACGGGTGAACTTGATTGCGCCCACTCCATTCGCCATAAATATGGCCCATCGGCGAAGTGCTGGCGCGGGCATTATCAATAATTTCGACGCGGAGAACTAATGCCGGGGTGTGCCAGAATTTATTTGGCGAGAGAATAAAGTCACTAAGATGTGACGGTGAGACTTATCCCGAGCGCGTATCATATTCGTTCGATGAGAGAATAATAAGAAGCTAAGTTTCTTCGAATCAAACGGAAAATATTTTCAAGGAATGTGACAGCTGACGCGATTAACTAAGCGTCAAGTCTCTTTCTCTATACACAAAAATGTAAAAAATTCAGGGGCTTTCTATGCAATCGAGCTTACCATTGAAAAATATAGACGCGAAATATAAGCGTTAATTAGCGTTTTGTCGCGAATGATTCAGAGACAAATAAATTATAGTCAATTGTTGGTGGTCCATTGCCACCCTACAGAAGGGCGGCACAATGGGATGCGCACACAGGAATACGCCATTACAGATGGCACAGGCCTGTGTCTAATTACGGTCATATACTAAGTTTAATATCTGCTTTAGGTCTGCTTTAGCACGCGGTTCGGGATTTGGGGAATAATCGTGGATATTGTGGAAGTTTGTCATGTCCGCTGTTCCTGTAAGGGATGCTGCGCATCCCTATAGATTTAATCAAACCGTTTTGGCCTACGCCATTTTTTTTGAATAGCTCTATCTAAAAATGTATTGCCTCTTCTGTATGAAAAAATGAAACGACAAGTAGCATTCGTATTCTATTTCTTCGATATTTCAAGCTTTCGACAAAAACTCTAAATAAGACACGATTATCCCATTTTTATAAATAATCTATCCGCGATTTTTTTCCGACCTCGATTTTATATCTGTCACATTATACATGAAGAGCACAGGCTCCCACTTTATATTATCGAATGCGATGCAAATGTTCGATTTCACGAAACGATTTATTAATACAATCAACATTTATCATCTCTACGTAAATGGACCGGTGCTTTTAGATCTTGACTTGTGACTTATTAACAACGTCACGCACTATCGCGCCAGAATGCTTCGATTAAGCGCCGATTAAGATCGCGCTCTAAACATTCCAGAGGATAGCGTCGCGAATGTAGCACGACAAGACAGTCAGCCGGTTCGTCGGCCGAGAAATGTTACACGCAACCGAGTCAGATAGATCTCTGTGATGGCAGCGTCGCGACGTCGCCGTTTAGATTTGACAGCACCTGCAAATCGGGGGGAGGGGGGAGGGGGGAGGGGACCCTCGCGTTCTCAGAGATGCGTCGCGTTGTACGGCCTGAAATTCTCTTTGTTCGACCGCCGGAGAGACCATGCGTGAGCCCCTCTCATAGCGATCCATTCATAAATATCTCAAAACGGCTTAATTTCGCGGCGCTGCGGGCGAATAAAATCTCGAGCCGGTGAAAAATGTAGACAGTTCGCCAGATGAAGGGGAATGGCGGGTAGAAGAGGAGAGGAGGGTGAGGGACAAGAGAGGAGATACGGCGTAGCCACGACCCACGGTTCGCTTGATCGCCGTCTCGGGTCACTGCAGCCTCTGCCAGAACGATAGAGTTGGGCGATCGAGTAGGAGGCATGTTGAAGGAAGAGGAGGGAATAGAGGTGGAATGCGACTCTGCGAAAAAAACGGCAAAGAGAGAGAGAGAGAGAGAGGGAGATTGAGAGAGTGGAAGAGATATGTAAAGGAACGAGAGGAGAGATGGAGAGTGCCAAGCGAGGAAAAATGCCCATGATAACTCCGGCGTCCGTTCCGTCGCGATTTCAAGTCCGGGCGCGATTTATATGGCTAATCCGCGCACTTTTTCTTGCCTCTGCATCTCGCCAGGTATCCGGTTCAACTCTAATTCAAGGCCGATTATTCAGCTTCGCTAAGCATATATGTGTATAGATAGATAGATACATCGTTGTTTTATCTGATGGTTGTTGATTAAACTCTTTTTTTACATGCTTGATTTGTTGCGATGCTATTATCGCGATGCTGCAATTTGTTATCGAGAGCATAACCGGCGTGAAAAATTCGAATCTGACAACCGAATAGAGCGCAATAGTCACGTGAGTGAAATGCTGCGTGCAATGGAATTTGTAAACTGTGTTATAATTTCTACTTTGTAATTGATAGCACCAAGATTTTTCTATCGCAGTATCATGAAAAAAATAATATTTCCGACGTTTATTACCAATAGTACGCAAAGTACGACAGTACGTCGTATTCGACATCATTCGATAATTTTACAATTCGGATATATATTCCGAAAATAAATTGTTAAGAGATTGTTTATTAGAGTATATCAATGACGCACTTTCCTTTTGAAACAGTAATCGCTATTACCAATACATTTTTACAAAATGCAACAAGATTTAAACAATTATCTAATCTCGAAATCAAATCAAAAAATATTATTTTCATTATTTATTGATTCATTGATCATAAATTTTGTCACCAAATTATTCTACTCTAACATTTCACTTTTTTTCAAATCCAGAAAAAGACGAGCTTTAAATCTGATCTCACACTATAAGAATTATTCTAAAAT